AACCCTTTGCCTTTGGCTTCTCATCTTTCCCTTTCCACTTTTGGAAGTTATTTTTCTTTGGAGAATGATTAACATCAGGAAAATTTCTTCCTTGGCCACGGCCACTAACAGGGTCACGGCCTTTTCCACGCTTAGTATAATGGGAATACACCTCATCCACTTTAGGCAATGGTGTAGACCCAGTGGGTCGATTTTCGTGATTTCTCATAAGCAAGTCGTTTCGTTCAGCCACAAGGAGAAGAAAAATCAACTCAGAGTACTTCTTGAAACCTTTCTCTCGGTACTGCTGTTGCAAGACCATATTGGAGTCATGAAACGTTGTGAAAGTTTTTTCAAGCATATCATAGTCAGTGATACTATCTCCACATAGTTTCAATTTAGAAGTAATTCTGGACATCCCAGAATTATATTCAGAAATAGGCTTAAAGTCTTGGAGCTTTAGATGAGCCCAATCATATCTTGCTTGTAGAAGAGTGACCAACTTTAAGTTGTCATATCTTTCTTTTAAGCCATTCCAAAAAACAAGTGGATCTTTGACTGTGAGATATTTATTTTCGACCCTTCATCAATGTGATGGCGCGAGAAAATCAAGGCCTTAGCACAATTTTGGCTACATGCTTTATTTTTATCTTTATTGGCGTCTCCAAGACCCATTGCATCTAAATGGATTTCAGCATCCAACACCTATGTCATATAGTTCTTGCCCGAAATTTCAAGGGCAGCGAACTTTCTTTTCATAATATCATAATTAAAAAAGGAGAAGAATTATACCTTAGGAGCTTTTTGAGACGGTAAAGTCTCGTGCTGATAACGTGTTATGAAATATAGCTCAAAGTAACAATATAGAACAAGGAAAAACAAGCTAAGAGATATAGAGAGAAAGAGAGGTGAGATTCTTATTTCTTCTTCAATTGTGTTATATTTCCTATCTATTACAAGGCCTTTATATAGGCATGAAAAGTGAAGAATCACTATTGTAAAATAGTGAGTAGAATGGCCACTATTTAGTGGAATGGCCACTATTTAGAGAAATGGCCACTATTGAGTGGAATGGTCACTATATAAATATGTCATTGAATATGTCATTAAGCATTTGAGAGGAAGATCACGGGGGAGGTTATGGAGATAATGGAGAAGAGTAGACATCCACCATAATTTAATTTTTCTTATAACAATAACACGTTATCAGCACGAAACTCTACCGTCTCAAGAAGCTCCTAAGGTATAATTTTTCTCCTCTTTTAATTATGACTGATATTATGAAAAGAAAGTTCGTTGCTCTTGAAATTTCGGGCAAGAACTATATGACCTGGGTATTGGATGCTGAAAAATCCATTTAGATGCAATGGGTCTTGGAGACACCATTAATGATAAAAATAAAACATCTACCAGATACTGTGCTAAGGCTTTGATTTTCTTGCACTATCACCTTGATGAAGGGTTGAAAATAGAATATCTTACCGTCAAAGATACACTTGTTTTGTGGAATGGCTTAAAGGAAAAATATGACAACTTAAAGTTGGTCACTCTTCCACAAGCACGATATGATTGGGCTAATCTGAGGCTCCAAGACTTTAAGTCTGTTTCTGAATATAATTGTGCGATGTTTAGAATTACTTCTAAGTTGAAACTCTGTGGAGATAGTATCACTGACTATGATATGCTTGAAAAAAACGTTCACAACGTTTCATGCCTCCAATATGGTCTTGCAACAGTAGTACCGAGAGAAAGGTTTCAAGAAGTACTCTGAGTTGATTTCTCTTCTCCTTGTGGCTGAATAATGAAACAACGACTTGCTTATGAGAAATCACGAAAATCGACCCACTGGGTCTACACCATTGCTTGAAATGGATGAGGTGTATTCTCATTATGCTAAGCATGGAAAAGGTCGTGGCAAGAAATTTCCTGGTGTTAATCATTCCCCAAAGAAAAATAACTACCAAAAGTGGAAAGGGAAAGATGAGAAGGCAAAGGGTTAAGAAAACTGAATGCTAATGTTGCGGTGGAAAAGGGCATTGGGCAAATATTTGTCGCACACCAAAATATTTGGTTCGAATAAGATGTGTTATAGACCTCAACCATACACATTCTCGACTTGCTTCATGAATAGCAATCATCTCAGCATGATTAGATGAAGTAGCCACGATTGATAGCTTAGTCGATCGCCAAGATATGACAGTGCCTCCACATGTAAATACATAGCCTGTTTGAGATCGAGCCTTGTGTGGATCAGATAAATACCCAGCATCGGCATAACCAACAAGATCGAACTGCAATCATTGTCATAAAATAAGCCCATATTGGTAGTCCCTTCTAGATACCGCAATATGCGTTTGATTCAATTCCAATGTCTCCTTGTAGGAGCAGAGCTATATCTTGCTAAGACATTAACTCAAGCTCCATTCCAATGTATTATGAAATATAGCTCAAAGTGATAATATAGAATAAGGAACAACAAGCTAAGAGATTTAGAGAGAAAGAGAGGAGAGATTCTTAGTTCTTCTTCAACTGTGTTATATTTCCTATCTTTTACAAGGTCTTTATAAGACATGAAAAGTGAAGAATCACTATTGTAAAATAGTGAGTGGAATTGTCACTATTTGATGGAATGACCACTATTGAGTGGAATGGTCAGGCCTTGTAGTTATGACATAACCTTTTCAGTTAATGTCTTAGGGAACATATAGCTCTGCTCCTACAAGGAGACATTGAAATGGATGGAATGACCAATATTGAGTGGAATGGTCAGGCCTTGTAGTTATGACATAACCTTTTCAGTTAATGTCTTAGGAACATATAGCTTTGCTCCTACAAGGAGACATTGAAATGGAATCAAACACATATTGCGGTATCTAAAAGGGACTACCGATATGGGCTTATTTTATGGCAATGATTGCTGATCTTGTTGGTTATACCGATGCTGGGTATTTATGTAGTAACCATTCCACTCAGGTCATTTCTCTCAATAGTGGCCATTCCACTAAATAGTGGCCATTCCCACTCACTATTTTACAATAGTGGTTCTTTACTTTTTATGCCTATATAAAGCCCTTGTAATAGATAGGAAATATAACACAATTGTCTCTTTCTCTCTATATCTCTTAGCTTGTTTTTCCTTGTTCTATATTGCTACTTTGAGCTATATTTCATCACAAAAAGCACTTTGTAGGGTTTTGGACAATATTTGGTTGAAGTTGAAAAAAATTATTTGAAAGTGTTCTGTTTGGACAATATTTTGGATGAATTTTAAAAAAAAAAAAAAGAAGAGTCTTTGAAGTTGAAGTTTAAAAAAAAAAGTTTCAAAGTTATTGTGTTTGGACATGAATTTCACTTGAAAAAAGTTAATTATTGTTTGATTGAACCATTCTATCACTTGAAATGCTCCTAACAAGCTTTTCAATGTTTTACCAATATTTCAAATATTGAAGTTCAGTATTTGCAAATAAGGATGTCCCCTCCATTATTTGCAAATTATTTATGGTCAAATATTAGTGTTAGCAATGGGACTTAAACTCGTGTTAATATGTGCACTCAAATTAAATTGGCTCCCGGACGACCTAGCTTTTAGCTTGACTTGCCCATCGGAGACTAGATGCTTCTCGAAATGAAATATTGATATACTGACTTTAAAGCATCTTGAAGCTTATTCTTGGTAATAAATTTATGGATTTTAAATCAGTTGAATCTAGTCTGAGCAATGATTTTCTTTCCGAAAGTATTTTTAACCCTTGAAACATTAGTTTAATTGGATGGGAATTCGTCTCCTGTTCCCCCCACTCTTTGTGTCTGTTTTTTCTTTTCTTTTTTCACAAAGCATGTGCATGCCTACTTGCTTTTCCTTCTAGAGGTTGGTTGACATCATTCTTGTTGTACATCATTTATGTTCCTTTTTTGTGGTATAGGTTTTTTCAATGCTTCCCGGATTTAGTGCAGAGATGATGCCAAAAGGTCGCGAAAAGGAAAGTCAGGCAAAAATTAAGCGGTATATGACAATGATGGACTCCATGACTAATGAAGGCAAGTGAGCTACATTTTATTGATTCAGTTAAGCTAGTTAGAGTAATGCTACGACCTTCTCATTTGAAATTGATAACATAATTGCAGAATTGGACAGTACCAACCCAAAGCTTATGACTGAATCTCGAATCATGCGTATAGCTAGGGGATCTGGCCGCCTAGTGCAGGAGGTGATGGAGATGTTGGAAGAATACAAACGACTTGCCAAGATATGCAGCAAGATGAAGGGGCTTAAGATTCCAAAGAAGGGAGAGATGAGTTCCTTGTCCAGAAACATGAATGCACAAAACATGAGCAAAGTTCTTCCCCCTCAGATGTTGAAACAAATAGGTGGTATGGGTGGTCTACAGACCTTGATGAAACAAATGGGTTCCGCGAAGGACATGATGGGTATGTTTGGTGGTGGGGAGTAATAATGTGATCACAATCAACGTACAGTTTTACCAGTTAAATATATAGGGAAGTTACATTGTCAATCCATGATTGGTAGTAAAGAATATAACCAGAGATGCCATTCCCCATCTTTGGGATTTGTTGGAATCAGATGTATTTGGTGAATTTGGTTGATTTAGAATGATGAAATGTGGTATAATTTTGTTGCACTGCTTGATTTTGATGATCCACTTTTATAGGTGCGATCTTTTCAATTTCTCATGGAGGGTGGCGTGTTAGTCATCCTTTTGAGCAGCTTCAACTCGTTTAGTGCTAATAAAGCTTAGGGCTCTGCTTGTAAATTTTCAGTAAGCTTGATGACATTCGTCGTTGAGAGCTGCACGTACGTGTATAGAGCTGCACCTGGTAGAGAAGGCGTGAAGCTCTTGAATTTCCAAGGGTGGCACAAACTTCTATTGCAGAGCGTGGTAAAACATTTCAATAGCCACCCACTTATACAGTACAATTATACGTAACACGAAAAATCACCGGCCTTTCACAAATACTGGTTGTTCTCTGCAGTCTTGGGTTATAGCAGCACATTTGAAAGCTTATTTCAAACTTACATCTTCAATTGCAATTTTCCAATTAGTCAGGATTACATGATGGGGAAGGAGTAAGCCATATATACAAGGTTATTAGAGAAGTAGAAGAGAAAGGAGGAGAAATTAAACAAGCTTATTTACAGGTTATAGATACGTGTGTTGCATTTTATAAATTATCCCTCTAAAAACTTCGTAAGAGCTGTCTTTGTTGGAGGGCTTTCTTCTTCATTGTCCTTCAATCTATTAGCTGTTTGAAGTGCATAACGAATGACAGAGTTCATCTGTTTCCTCAATTTGGCATTGTCAACGTAAACATCAGCTAGCTGTTTCCTCAATTCATCCACTGCTGTCCTTGAATAACCTCCATCAAGATTTCTACTAGCAATAGTAGTTTCAACATCTTCTGCAAGCAGCTGGGCCTGTTTAAGTCAAGAAAAAGATAAAGCAAAATTGCAGAAATATGACACCTCCTGGTGTGGTCTTTTAACTGTTGATCTATGCTTCCCTCTTACACTTGAAGTTCTGCCCATGGGGCAAGTGTGTGTGTGTGTTGGGGAGGGGGGGGGGGGGTAGATTCAAGACTATCCACTTTGAGGACTATTTGTGTACGTCAGCCGTGTAAGTAGAAAGACTGAACATGTTATAGCTTTTCTCTCATTATCATAATGACTCGGCCAACCAACACAAGGTACAAGTGCAAGATATAACTCAATTATGTTGCACATTACATTACAAGTAAAGGATAGCTCGTCAATTCTGATAGACATCCACATAGGGCTGGATCTCGGACATTCATATTGCTAGTTTGGTAGGTCAACATAAAAATGGCTCTACACGATATAATACTATTATATTATCTCATATAACCCAGTTAAAAAAAACGCTCAGTCCGCACAAGCTGCAAAGGAAATGTTTATAACCTACTCCAATTGTTCAATAAATACCGTTTAGGGCAGGAAATCAATTCCTTCGTATTCATTTTCCCTTTTGCTGAGATGTTTGGGATGTCTATCTATACCTTAAGAAGAGACGTAAATGATCTCAAGCATCTGAGTAGAACATAAAATGTACTATGGTTTTTTTGATAAGTAGAACACAAATTGTATGTAGAATACTTCTGTTAGTGAAAATGGTATACAATTTGGAGCATTTAGGAAAAGCCACCAAGAGTAACTCAAAGGTAAACACACAAAGGAAAGAGACATACCTCAGCAAGAAGTAAACCTATTCGATTATCAGATGTTGACAGTATATCAATGGCATCAGAAGGGCTAGATGCCTCCAGGACCAGTTTATTTTCTTCCTCGATGAGGAAACTGACGCTGCATTCCTCAAGTCTACTGCGAACAATTTCACACTCATGCAGCAGCTTAATATTTGCAGCATTAGCACATTCCCTTATTTGCCTTTCCTCCTGTAGAATCCTCTGAAAGAAAGCAACATTATCATAAGCACAGCTTATTGAAGTAACGGATGGTTGTTTGAAGAAAAATTTACAACCTCACCCTCCCCCCAGGAACAGAATGTGAAAAGCACATAAAAAACCTTGGTTTCACCTTAAAAACAAAACAAATCAACTACACTTTTACTCATCCAGCTCATTTAGAGAATGACTATGCATTAGTAAAGAACTGATCAAGTGAATGATTACTTCTACTTCTGCCTTCTCTTTTGCCAATTTGCAGAGCTCTTGCTTCTGTTCTGTCTGGGAAGTTCTTAGAGATTTAATCTCCTTGATTAAAAGTTTGACCTCTGCTTTGGACTTTGACTCCGACTCCAAATGGTGTTTCCGCAAGCTATTGATCTGCTGTTGAGCAGCATTCAACTCTTCGTACAGTCTTTCATTCTCTTGTATTGTGATTCTTTGAGTTGATTCCATTTGAACCTTGTCAGCCTTAACAATTTTCAAGAAGAACTTGCTCATTGTCCAAGATATAGAAGAAATATTCCATTTTGTAATAGAAGAGAGTGACAGTATACCTGTTCAGACGTCAGGTTCAATTCCATCTCCACACACTTTCTTCTAAGTTCCTCCATATCCCATAGCATGTGAGTAAATTTTTCCCTCTCCATTTGAATTGCTTGCTGCAGGTTCTCTTTGCCACTCTGTGTTAGAGATTCAAGCTCAATTTCCAAATCTTTAACCTGTCAAAGACCAACCAGATGGTAACATTCATAGCATCATTATCATAACGCAAAATAGAGAAGCCAGGAGTAACATAACTCCCACACATCAAATAGAGAGGTAAGCCGTTAAAATAAGTATGGGTCTACAGGTTGAGATAAGCTTCTAAGTGTTAAAATATTTGCTAATTATATCCGTTAAAGTTACCTGGCCCTTTCATAACCCTATTTCCTATTGTCCACCTATACTTGGGATGGAATGAGGAGGAAGAGGGAAGTGCGGCATATTATGTAAGGAAATATCTGAATGAAGCTCTCCTTACAGTGAGGAAAGAGTGGTGGCATGGCAAGGAGGAAAAAGTCACGAGCATGTAGGGGCTGAAAATTTATGAGCATAGGAAAGGAGCTTGTCATTAGAGAGCTTAGCTAGGGATAGGATATTAGAGGAGAGGAATGGCAGAAGACAAAAGGTTGGGAAGACTGGCTTTCTGGGGCATTGTTGGAACCAATTGTTATTCTGGAAACTTTAAAAGAATTAACTGAAATTTCCAATATTGATATAAGAAAAGGGCAAACAGAGGACATCTCGTGATGCATCACTGCAGTAAGCAAAAGAGAATTTGCTGAGTAATGTATGACAATATACTCGGTCGCTTATTATCCAAAGTAATATATCTTAATCTCACAATTCTACATACTACATGGTTTGAACAGCTAAAGTAACTGGATTAGAGAAAAAAAATGTAACGTTGCATGTCTAAATTGCAGAATTTTGGACTAAGAATCACACCTTTGTGGCAAGATACTGTCTTACAGCATGTTCTTGATTCAGTCTCATCAGGAGATCTTCCATGTCAGTTTTTGCTGTGGCCAGCCTCAGTTGCATAGCACTAAGAATCCTATCCATTTTAGTTTGTTCTTCCAATTGAATAACAACTTTTAAGTGGCCGGGGAACTGTAAGTCGGAGCTTGCCGGTGCATTTAGTCCTTCTAAAAGTTCAGCACCTTCAGCCGAGACATATGAGGTATTCCTCAATGCTTCAAGCTTCAGGAAATTTGAGAGGTCAGAGATTCTTTCTGAAGAAATGTCAGTTTCAAGAGTCTGTTTATCATGGCCAAAAGTTGTAAGAATTTCTCTCCCGGAGAAAAGCTCCATCTCATCCTTGCATATGACTTGAGCATTATCTATGATTCTCTTGGCGGAAACGTCAGCGGTATCTCCTGTGTAAGGCATTTTCAAACGATTCTCCTGGTTCCCTTGTTCAGAATCTTTTGCTGGCTTGCTATCACCATGTTTTAACCTGGAAACTTCAGAAATTGCTTCAACTGAAGGGGTGAAACCCTGGTAAAATGCTGCGCTGTCAAGTTCACGGAACCTGCTCATGCCCTCTGTTGGTGATCCCAGCTCAGGGGTCCCATAAGCAGAATCATTGCCGCAATCAGAAGCAAATGATGATTGACCAGCAAGCAAAGAAACATCTGAACTATTTGAGAATTGGATCGATGGAACTACGCTGATGGATGAATTCACATCGGCAGCGTTCTGATTCAATTCAGTGAATGCTGAGAAGTTCATAAAAGAAAAGAAAAAAAGGTTTACATCAATTCAACAAAGATCTGGTTGATAAATCATAGCGTACTGGTTGATTACACAACTTTCAACTGTTTGGTGGAAGTACAAGGAAAAAAGCACAAGACTTGAGCAAGGAGACACCTACATGACCTTGCAGCTGCTTCAAGCTCAAGAAAGATCCCTATGCGAGCACTTCTTGATAACTTGATGTCAGACAATACTTTCGTCATCCAATCCTCCAATAAACACCTACGCTGAGATGAAACCAGCTTGAGCACATACCAAGATTTATTCCATATTAAAGAACCACCTAATACCAGCTCATTCCTCAAGAATAATTATCAGGTTAGGATTGATGTCATCATGCAACTATATTTTTAAAAATTAAAAGAGAAGGATAGAAATAGGATGTTACTAACTTCTTCCAAAAGCGCACTGCTTCGCATTCTCAGAAGCCCCTTTGAAGGAGCGGGGGGCAACTTTTTCTTTGGGAATTCTTTCTTCAGCTGCAACAAATGAGAGGTGTGAAACTACAATTTTAAGTGATCAAGTGGGTCAACTAATACCATATCTAGAAAGTATGGAGATTTAGTCCAATAACCAATCAATTCTTAATGAAGCCATAGATGCACAAATAGAGGGTAGAAATATTATCCTACTTGTTACACTATGCAGGATCTCAAAGAAACTAGCTTACCTCTGAAGATAGCTTTAAGAAATCACTAAATCTTCGTAGTATCTCTCGCGTGGTTGTGAATCCATCAGGTGATTGTATACCAATTTGAACCCTGTACAACTGTCCCAATTCGAATGTCAATATCTCAAGCAAGAAACAATAAGTTGTTCAAGTTATTACGGAGTTTCTTTTCGTTCCTGAAAGAAAATACACTACGGTAATCCCCCATTTGACCAGGTACAGCTCACCATTAAAAAGAAAAAGAAAACACCTAAAGATCTTCAAGTTAAACTCCAATCCTGGATGGAAATAACAGCCCTTTTTGAATGCTAATATAGCTTATTCCTTTTTAAGTGCTCAATGCATTAAAGAACCTGACTCAAAAAGTTCACAGGGAAATACCACTACAGTAGCTGAACCTCTTGGGCGTGACAAGATAGTCCAAGAAGGAATAGTGGCACAGTAACTCCATCCTGTATGAGAATCATGTGGCCAAATAGTATCATGTCCATCCTGTGTAAAATACGGGAGCACTCATTTGAAGAAGAAATGAAAGTTCTTGTACCAAATTAAACCAAATGTCTATGACAATCACTTCAAGCTTATCTTCACAACTAATCAGGGACCCATATGTATTAGCAAAAGATTAGACAAACTCCAAATCAGATTAAACTGCCAATAGAATCTTCAAATATGACAGAGCAAGCTAACAATAGTTTGTCCAGATTTGAAGGAGCTAATGATTTCCGAAAGATTTTAGCATTGACCTACTGCTTAGAGAAAACCTAGTGGATCACACTTTTGCCTCAATGTGCAAATTTAAAACAAAGAGAAGTAACACGCATAGATACTCCTCAATTAGGCTGAAACAGTGTCTTTATCTTGTCTGGATAACTCAATGTCTTTATCCATAATCCTGGCAACTCACTTCTCTTAAGAAATAAGTTAAATAAACTTGAGTGACTTTTCCTGTTTCTACGGTATGCAGTTCAAGGATATCATTAATTTCACACTTGTGCCAAGAAGAATTTAACTTTCCTTAAGCAACTAGAAAAAAACATGTATATGCTACTGCAAACCAGCTAAATTTTCATTTAACCAACACTATGTTCCTAGATAATAACATAATCATATATAGCCTGGAACCTACACGAAACTCCAGGCACGAAATTAAATATTACTGCACATCAATACGCATATCGAGAACAAACAGAAACAAAGCTGACGAAGAGGAAAACGGAGAATTTTTTTACCCAAACGCGAGGGGGAGGACTCCAATCCATCCCTAACGGAAGCGGCGAGGTGCCGTCGTGCCGATGCTTAGGTGGACTCCTTAGACTTTTGCTAGCTTTGTCAAGCAATGAAGAAATCAACGCCGGCTGTAATTCATCGTCGTCAACGATCGACGAAGTGCGAGAAAGCGAAAGGGATTCGATGAAAGTGGGATCATTAAATCCCAAGTCCAGAAATGAGTAATTACGATAGAGGTTCATCGCAAATAACAAATTAAGTCTCAATTTCTTTCGCGGTAAACTTCAACTCAGCTCCGGCAGCTCTCTTCTCTTCCTTAGGCTCAACTAACGGTCCTGTACTCCTGTTTCTGTCTCTTTGACTTAAAATATCCTCAAGAATTAAAATCCCGTTATTTTCCCAAAATGAAACGGAGCAAAACCGAGAGAGACTGGACCAGGACCGACCCGTTTTAATCTCGGACCTATCGGTTCCAACTTCCATGACCCAAGGCAACGACCCATGGTTAGTTCCAACTTCCAACTTAAAAGAATAAGAATGATTTCATAAAATACTATCTTTTAGTGGTAATTAGCTATCTATAGATACCATTTGCTATATTACAGATTGTAGATACTTTTTCTTTTGTTATAAGATGTATTTGATATATTTAAGCTACTGTATTCATGAATACAGTAGCAAAAATAGGCGTGAATCAGGGAAGTCCAGCTAATCGGTTGTTGTGTGTATTCGACTGTATTCATAGCGTGAAACATGGGATTACAGCTGGACAGATTATTGTATTCGACTGTATTCACGGTGTGAAACAGGGGATTACACTGTTTTTAAACGGAAAGTGAATCAATTAACATAATAGACTCCTAATATAACTCAACAAACTCAATTATAACACACAAAATTTATATTTCCAGTTATAAAAAAAATTCTCATCGAAAAATATCCCAAAAATATAGCAATCTTTAGAGAAATTATATAATACATCTAAATACATAAATTATATTAATTAAAAAAAACATATGAATACATTCATGGCATATAGCGAGACAGTGAATACAATGAAATACATAGAATACAGCGGGATACATTGAAATACAACAGAAAAAAAAATAGTGAATACAATGAAATACATGGAATACAGCGAGATACATTGAATTACAATGAAAAAAAGACAATGAATACAATGAAATACATGAAAATACAGTGTGATACGTTGAAAAAATATTGAAATATATTAACAGAAAATCTGTCCAATTGCATGAAGTAGCTACTAAAGATCATGCCAGAATCACACTGTTTCTGAATCATAAGTAATAGTTCTTGTATCGTTCTCTGGAAATCTCTATAGAAAATTACATCTTTGTCCAATTGCAGAAAGAAAAAGAGGGGATACAGTCAACTAAGCATATGCCTAGGAGGACTTTGAACAGAGATGCGCGCAAGAACGGAATGACTTCAAGTTTTCCATCAAAAATTCCTCAAATTGTAGCAAAGGTTTCTGGAAAATTGCATCTTTACCATTGCAGAACGAATGTTAACACATTAGTAAAATAATTAAAATCCAATACAAATTGACCAAACTCCATCGTCTTTGTTCAAGAACAAACCCTAATTTCCGGCGAATCCGCCGTCGAGCAAAAACCCTGAATCTCACTGTTCCCACGCCACCATCGATCGGAGGCTTCATCTCCTTTGGATTCAATTTCGATTGCAGAAATTACTAACACTGCTTGGGGACCCGTGACCATCTTGTGACTAATGGTAGGTGATGTGGGTGAGAGGAATTTTGAGATTGAGCATCGTGTGGGGAAGAGAATGGCATGTATCAAAGTAGAGAGAGAAAGAAAATAGTGTAACTCAATAGCGTATTTAGTGGCTTAGGGTAGGAGGTAACCAAAATTAGATATTTTGCTTTAAACATTAAAAGGTATCTATAGAATATAATTTTTTTAGATGGTATTTATTTAAAATAAATAAGGTGTTAACCTTTGCTATAGGTGGTAAAAATTCCTAAAATATTTATCTATGAAGTCATGGTTGTATGGGTCAAAATCTAACTAAGGGAATTCGGCAGGAAGAGGTATTATTAGAAGTGATTTGGCCGAGGTTGACTAATGATTAATGGAACTTACTGCCGAGCAGTCGATCGTGGCCGAGGTCAAATGCTTAGAGCAACACTAAAAGCTAGTTTTGTAATATGACCTTTTTAGGAGAATATTCCATAGGATATTCTCTATACGTATACTTTTAGGGCTAATGAGGGGTATGTCCCATATAAATAGAAAGACAGATAAGGTGAAAGGCATGTATTATTGATTCTGATAAGAACTCTCTTGAAAAGTTGACTCTCTAGATAAATACAAACACCACTTTTCTAAAGAGATTCGTTTTGTTGTTTATTCTACACTTTTCACATCAGATCCGAGAAAGTCTCCAATATTCCCATAGTTATTTGTCATACATCATTGTCAGAAGGAAGAATCATCCACCTCATTCAATATTGGGTGAATCATTCTCCTTATTTACATTTAGTGCCATTTATTATTATTTAATGCTTGTTACTCTCATCCCATTATTGACCTTGAACATTTAATATATATTGCATTAAATATGTTCCGACATTGTCATACGTAATCCCCGTAGGCCGATTTTAGATCTGAAGTTATTATCTTTAACTAGGATTAACCCCTTATCTTTTTAATTAATTAGTTTAACCAAAGTTTCATATATTTTGGTCAAATAATTCGGCGCCGTCTGTGGGGATTTCCTAGTCAAAGTTGTAGTTTCCTTCAGATCTATAACTAGCAAAAAAACACAAAAACCTTACACTTTTTTGTGCAAACAAATCTAACATGGCAGGTAACGGAGAAGGATGGATGAAGGCGGTAGCCGATCTCACCACCAAGTTCCTAAATACCATCAACGAGGTCTCTGAAACGGAGGGTGAGGACGAAACGCCAAACGCCTCACCCAAGTGAAGTGGCTCACCCCTTCCTCATGGTAGTATCACAATGTCCCACGGTAAAGTAGCCTCCACGTCCACAACGAAAGAGACGCCATCAGTGGTGAAAAAGCTACTCGAAGCTTGGCTGACGAATACGTTGACCAGCAACCTTGACAAACCCGCTCAAAAGGCAATCGGAGAGGGTGCAAGGACCTGCGTTGCACCAACAGCAGCAGTCGAACAGCATGACCCCCCTCCGCTCGCAGTAGGTATCACTCATAATGTTAATGATGCAGGTAATGACAGCCTCACAGCCATCTTAAGGAAAATGGAAGAGATGGAAACTGAAAACAAAATGCTCCGAGACCAAATAAAAGAGCATCAAGAAAGGGTAGACAAAACACCAAGCGCCTCAAAACTCTTACCAAAAAGAGACACCGGCCGGTTCGTTGAGCACCCGTACAACGATGAAGCCGCACCACATTCCATACCTAAAACCTTCAAAATGCTTTGTAACTAAAAATATATGACGGTACGACAGACCCTAAGGATCATGTGACTCACTATGTCACCGCAGTAAAAGGCAACGACCTCGCCAAAGAGCAAGTATCCTCCATCTTATTGAAAAAGTTTGGCGAAACCCTCACCGGGGGTGCATTAACTTGGTATTCACAGCTACCTGCGTGCTCTATTGAAACATTCGAAGAGATCTGGCAGGTCCCCGACCTCAATACAAGCCGAGTCCAGAAAGGATTGGAGAAACGACAACAGAAGGGATCTGGCAGGTCCCGACCCAACCAAGAAAGACATTAACCGTACGTCAGTGGCGCCATCATGCCGCCTTCTCGCCACGACGAAGGCCCATCTAGGCCAAGAACAGGGACTCACCAAAACGAGAGAGGTATGCCTCCCTTACTATCTGCTCACAATTTTTGTGTTTCACCCTCAGAAATAGTCTACGCATTGGGGAAGCTCGACCTAAAAGTAAAGTGGCCACAGAAGATGAGGTCCGACCCAAGCACCAGGAAGTCAAACGCCCTTTGCGAAGAACGAGGTCAATAAAATTGAGGACCGCATCGCTCTAAGACAAGAGGTCGTGAACATACTTCACTAGGGGCACTTGAAAGAGCTGCTGAGCGACCGAGGAAGAGCCAACTTCGCTCGAGGACGTGAATAGCACCAGGGCCCACCTAAACCACCTTCTCCAACTCGAACCATTCAAATGATCATCGAAGGGGACGATGACGCATCAATCAACAGCGTAAATTTCACCACCACCCACAAACTCAAACGGTCGATTACTCATGAACGGTACAACGAACTCAAAGAAAGTATCATCTCGATAAGTCAGATACCCACAGTTTGGTTTTTTCTCACTATGATGCTCTTGTTATCACTTTACGCATATTAGATACAGATGTGAGACGAATTATGGTGGACGATGGAAGCGGCGCATGCATTATCCACCCTCGAGTACTTGCACAAATGAAACTCGAGGATAAGATAGTGTCACGCTGCATCACACTAACCGGTTTTAACAATGCAGTTGAACGAACATCTGGAGAAATCACACTTTTACCGGTTTTAACTAATGATGGGAGCTTTTTTTAAGTTTTAAATTAAAAAAAATTTGGAATTTTCCAGCCACTTTTACCGGAAAAGGACCAAGATGTTTAGCTATTTTAGCTATTTAATAGTCGGATACCCACGGTTTGGTTTTTCCTCACTATGATGCTCTTGTTATCACTTTACGTATATTAGATAAAGATGTGAGACGAATTATGGTGGATGATGGAAGCGACGCGTGCATTATCCACCCTCGAGTACTTGCATAGATGAAACTCGAGGATAAGATAGTGTCACGCTGCATCACACTAACCGATTTTAACAATGCAGTTGACCGAACATCTGGAGAAATCACACTCCTCGTCCTAGCCGGCGGCGTCACCTTGGAAACCACATTCCACATTATGGATCAGGACACGGCGTACAACGCCATAATAGGTCAGCCTTGGATACATGACATGAAGGTCATTCCCTCCAGCTTGTACCAAGTCATCAAATTTCCCACCCCATGGGGGGTATGCAGCATCCGAGGAGAACAATGCATTCAAGGAGAACAATGCACTTCCCGAGAATGCTATCGCATCGCCCAGGATTGTACATACACCTAACAAATGAAGGGCAAAGCCAAAGAAGCATAGCAATCAACAGGGTCGAGGTCGAGCAGTGATGAAAGGAAGGACGTGATCAAGGACCCCGAAATCATAGAAGCCACGCGATCAACCATTGAAGACCCCGACCCCGTCCAACTTGATGATAACGACCACAGCAAGAAAGCCTACATCGGCCACAAGCTTCAGGAACCAAGTAAATTCCATCATTTCTTCACTAATAACGCAGACTTGTTTGCCTTTTCCCA